TGAATTGACAGCAGACCCAGCTGTCAGAGGTTCCACCATTTTGTACCTGAGCTATCCGAAGCACATGGGCTATTTGGTCCTTCTAGCAAGGGAAGTGATGAATGAGCCTTCCACACCTGCTCTTCTTGTGCATTTCAGCCTGGAAATAGCTTTTATGACTTTCATTCACAGTCTACTGGACACATCTACTACTATCCGGGAGCTGGGAACTGTGAAGCACATGGCTATTCAGCGGGCATAAATGTCTCTGCCACATAATACTAACCAATGAACAATAGTCAAGACAAATAAAACATCATAAAATTTGGAAAGAATTAGGTCAAATTAAAACAAGCAGAAGCTGTGTCATAAAAGAAATCGAGAGCTGACATAGACTAAAATTAGTAAAGATGTAGATTTGAATAACATGATTAACAAGCTTGATCTAATTAGAAAAAATGAATTTTAAGACAAAAACATTATTAGAGATAAGTGAATTATTACTTAATGATAAAAAGAACATTCCTGAGGAAGATAGAAAAAATCCACCTCATCTATCCATTGCTGCATTTAAAAGCCCCACACCAAAACCTTGTGACTTAAAACAACGATGGTTCTATGAGTTGACCATGTTGAGTTAGCTGAATCAGGTCATTAAAGAGCTGCATCCATCAGGGAATGCAACTGGGGTGGGAACGTCCAAGACAGCTTAATTCACATGTCTTATCTGGAATGGCTGGAACAGCTAGGGCTGGCTGGGACTCTCTCCCAATAGAGAGGCCAAACTTCTTACATGGTATTTCAGAGCTTCAAAAGAATACAGACATTGCCAAGGTTTTTAAGAGCTGAGCCAAAAATCTGCACAGATTCACTTATGTTATTTGACTTCTATTGGTCAAAGCAAGTCATGAGGGCAGCTATATTCAAGAGTAAAGGATATAGGCTTTATCTCTTGATGGGAGGAATAGTAGCACATACAGGTATGAAAGGAATTGTTGCTAGCCATCTTCGAAGATACTCCATTACCTGGCCACAAATATTTACATCCCTTTTGTATAAAAAATAAACTTACCACCTTCAGAGATCCCCAAACACAGCATCAGATTAAGATTTAAAGTATAGCATTCAGCCTTGTAAATCAAATTCGAATGTTGATAACATTCCCCCAATGTGGCTTTTAAGCAAGAAACAGATAAAGAGAGATATTAATAATGGTAAATGTGTCAAACTACCAGGAAGAGATAACAATTCCAAATGCGTATGCAAGTCATAAAATAAATTCAAAATATTAAACAAAAATGATGAAAATAAAAAAAATAGACAAATTCGCAATTATAATGGGAAACTTCAACAGAATTCTCTTAGTAACTGATAGAATATTAGGAAAAAAATTCTAATGTGAGAGTATAGAGTATTTGAATTTTTTAATGGAAATTAATATTTTAAGCAAAATGATCACAGAAATATGACATAGCAAGATTTATACATATGGCTAAAACCACCCCTAGACAAAAATGTCTAGCATAAATACACATATTATTATGGAAAAGAAAAAGAAAAATCAAAGATCTAACTATCTCTGTAAGAAGTTTTTTAAAAGCAAGTTAAATTTGAAAAGGTAGAATGACAAAAATACTAAAGATAAGAGCAGAGATTAATGAAATAGAAAATGAACATACAGTAGAGAAAATCAATAAAGCCAAAAGGCACTTTGAAAAGTCTAACTCAATTGATGAATCCTTGCAGAGACTGATCAAGAATAAAAGAGAATGAGAAAGAGAAGACATGATTATCAATATCAGGAACGAAAAAGGGAAGAATATTACTACAGATCTCTCAGATATTAAAAATGAAAATATTATAAATAATGTATATCAATAGATCTGGAAATGTAGATGAACAAATTCTAAAAATATATACATATCAAAACTAGCACAAGAAGAAATACAGTGTTTGAACAGTTTCCTATCAGTTTTAAAAACCAAATCTGTAATAAAGCACCCCCTCTCAAGAAAGTTTCAACTCCAAATATTAATAGCTTTACCAGTAAAGTCTTCCACACATTTATGGAAGAAATAAGATCAATTTTACACAAACTCTTTATAAAAATAGAAAAATAGGGAGCTTGTTTCATGAAACCAATATAATTTTGATACTAAAATTCAGCAAGAAAGAAAAAGTATTTGGTCCATCCTTCTCATAAACACAAATGCTAAAAGCCAAAACTTAATTACAAGTCAAACCCAGTAATGTGTAAAATGGTAATACATCCTGACCAAGTTGAAATGCAGAGTTGATTTTACATTTGTAAATCACCAATGTAATTCACCATATTGACAGTAAAAGAAAATAATTATATCATCATATCAATAGATGCAAAAAAAGTATTTACTAAACAACATCCATTATTTAGAAAAAAAGGAAAACTCTTAACAAATTAAGAATAAAATAAATTACTTAGTCTGATGAAGAATATTTACCAAGAAAACTTAGAGAAAATGTCACATTTAATGGTGAAATATTAAGACCTTTCCTTGTGAAATTAAAACAGGATGCCTAATATCACCACTTCTCTTCAGTGTCATGTTTGAGTTCCCAGCCAGTGTAATAAGTGATGGAAAAATGTTTAAGTATTATAAAGTATTGAACAAAACTACTATTATTCACAGATAATCTGGCTGTATATGCATAAAATATAAAAGAACTTAGATAAATATTAAAACTGATAAGTAAATTGAATAATTTTAATAGATAAAAGATCAATATACCAAAAACTATTATATTTCTATATATCAATATATAATTAGAAAAAAATTTAATGATGTCACTTATAATAACATCAAAAACATATCAAATGCCTAGGAATAAACCTAATAAAAGATGTATTTTCTACAGACAAAGCTACAGAAAATTACTGAGAGAGAGAAGTTCAAACTGATGTAAATAAATAGGGTGATATTCCATATTTATCAATTGGAAGACAACCCTTATTAACTTATACAAATTAATTTATAGATCCAATGCAATCTCAGTTATTAAAAATCTAACAGGTTTTTAAGTGAGAGGAAGGCAGGAATTGACAAGTTGATCTTTGAACATACAGAAAAAATACAAATAGCCAAAACAATTTTGAAGAGGGGCAATATTTTATGACTTAAACTACCAGATAATAAGATTTATTACAAAGCAACAATAATTAGGACAGTGTGGTATTGGCATGAGGATAGACAAAATAGACTACAGAAAAAAGTTTCTAGAAACAGAGCCACATGGCTTCTTGTTTTATGACAAAGGTGAAATTGCACTATTGTGGAAAAGATCTATTTTCAATAAATAGGGCAGGGTAACTTGGCTATCTATATGTACATTAAAAGTAAATATAAACACTCACTTGTATTATGCATAAAAATCAACTGCAATGATATTATAGAGATAAAATAAAGGGTAAAATAAATAAAGTTTCTAGATGATAACATAAAGGGAATATGTTCATGACCTTGGAGTAGACAAATTTTCTTAGATGTGATACAAAAATCTCCAACCATAAAGGAAAAGATTGATGAATTGGACTATATCAAAGTTGGAATGGTTGTTCATCAAAAGGCACTACCAAAGACAAGCCACAAACTGAGGAAAGACATTTGCAATACATACATCTAGCCAAGGATTTATATTCAGAGTTTAAAAGAACTACAAAACAGGAAGAGAAAACCCAAAAACCAATGGAAAAATGGGAAGAGATTTGAACAGATATTTCACATTTAAAAAGATATCTAAATCACCAATTAGACTATGAAAATGTACTCAATCTCATAACTCACCAGGGATATAAAAATCAAAACCACATTGAGATAATCTTAGCAGAATGGCCAAAATTTACACGTCAATACCAATATCAGCATGGATTTCAGAGCAATGAGAACGTACACATTGGTTGGTAGGGCGTGAATTGGCACAACCACTTTGGAAAATAATTTGGTAGTACTTTCTAACCCGAATATATGTATATCTTATGATCCAGGACTCCACTCCCAGGTACAAACCCAATAGAAATGTGCGCAAACATGCATCCAGAGACATATACAAGAATGTTCACAGCAGCACTATTAATTTTACCTGAGAAAGCATGTAGGGGCTCTTGGTTCCCTTTGAGGTCCTCCTGTTGGACTGAGATGGATTAATCTCTATTTGCTCCTGTATGTTTTTCTCATCTCAGGGTGTAGTAGGTTGGATGTGACATAATATACCTAAGACAATGTGCCTTTGTAGTTATAAAATTAAATAGCCCCTTAGGAAGACCAAGATATGGGCTCAGAGGAAAATGGTAGGAAAAATTATTTGAAAGAATGATACTGGCACTCCTTATGGTAGCTAATGTCTTAGGGACCTTTGTTGACCAGTATGCCAGGATGGAAACTTGACTTTTAAAGACATATAAAAGCAATACATTCACATGGTAATTAAAAAAATAGTATAGAAAGGCACGAAATGTCCTCTTCCCACCTATAGTTCCTCAAATGTAACCACTATTTTTTGTGTGTGTACTTTCCAGGGGGATAAAGTATACTTATAAGAGTTTATACACATATGTATTCTATTTTTTTAATATCTACCCAAAAGAATAATAATACAAATACCAATCTATACCTCACCTTTCCCCCTTCACATTAAACAAGGTGGTCTTTCCTTGTTAGCATGTGTAGCTTTACCTCGTTCTTTAATAGCTTCATTGCTTGCTGTTGTACAGATGAATCCAAATATTGTAAACAGTCTCACATTCATGATCTTTTATGTGGCTTCCAGTGTTTAGGCAGTAACAAATGCTACAATAAACTTTCTTGCAGAACTATCCTCACCTACTTATCTTAAGGTAATTTCCCAAGAGCAGAAATGTGGGGTCAAGCGTATGTAAGTTTTAAAAACTTTAATTAGTCGTTAAAGATGGGTACTCCCACTTCCTTTTTTCTAATTCACTAATGCAATCTGCTCTTTGTGAACGAGCACTTTGTCAGCTGTGCTCCTTGGAGCTGGTATGCTGTGTACCGACTGTAATCAAGATCAAACCTGTTATTCCTCCCAGAAAATATCTCCTTCGGTCTCAGCCCTGGGCAGTCCAGGTCTTCATGCTGCTGTGGGTCACACTACTGGTCCTGGGTGAGTAGAATGGCTCAACACGGGCCCCGGGTGGGGTTGGGACAGCCTCTCTCTCTCCACCAGCAGACCAGCCTTTTTGAGGCTCAGCCGCTGCTCAGAGAGTCTTTCCCACACGAGGAGACTGTTTTCAGGCTTTACTGCAGGGCTCAGGCCTTCCTCTCTTGAGGCTAAAGAAAGCAGTCATAGCTGGAAAAATTCTTCAACCTTACAGAGAAGGAAACTATAGTGACCACAACAATTAATGTTTCGTTCATTTTTTTTTCTTCAACAAATACTTCATGAAGTCCAGAAAATGAGTCACGGTTGCTTATTCAGACCGTCTCATTCAGAGAAAAGCCTACTCTCCTCTCTGCTTAGGAGATACCCTTTTTCCTCATATGCTGGTCCTGGGCACAAGGTTTCTGACAGGGAAGATGCTCTTTCTTCTGCACATGAATGCAAAGCACAGCAGTGATTGGCAGATTAAGAACACGGGGTGAGGGGAGACGCAGAGGGATAGCGGGGCAAGGCAAGGAGAACCCTGGAGGAGATGGCATTCCCACTGTGCCTGTGGGTGTGCATAGGTGCCTATCAATTCACATCTATGAACTGGTCTGTTTTTACCAAGGTTTAAATATTAGAATTAAATGAGTTCATTCATTTGCTAAGCAAATATTTTTTTCATGATACCTAGTCACAGCACTGTGCCAGGTGCTGAGAATGATGGGAGTCCATGGAGGAAGCTCATGATATAGAAGGACTCCCAACATGGCCAATAGACAAGAAACAGCTATTATAGCAAGACTCCAGTTAAATAATTATCCAGTGCATGGTGCAGGCAGATAATAAACCATATGCCAAATAGCTGGTATAGACTTCATGAAACTTAGAAGTGAGTAGGAGCTGGAGGGACAAGATGTAAGAAGAGAGGGCACCACAGTTGGAAGGTGCATGGACTATTAATCCAGAGATAGGAAGCACATCCCAGTGTGGAACCAACAGAGGGGCAAGACAGTATGGCCAGGAGCATGCACTTTGGAGTCAAGCAGGATCTGGGTTCAAAATGTCATCCTGCCACTTACCAGCTACTTAACCAGTTTTCTGGCCTGTGAAATAGGGCTAATCAAAGAAGTCATAGGGCTACTGGCCAGATGACATGAAATAATGTATGTAAGTGCATGTCACATAGAAAACAGAAGAATGTTAGCTTAATTAAGACAATGCAATGGTCAAGGAGGCCAAGATATTCAGGTAATAGTGCGTAATCCATTGTTCTCAAGAGCACACTTAAGTTTGGATAACTCTTATGCAAATCCCTGTTGAATAAATCAATCAAATCTGTCCCTTATATGGAATATCTATTCAATTTATAAACCTGCCCATGTTGCCGCATCTCTCTCCTCGTTACGCATTTCTGAAACCTGTATCCTTCTATCTCTCCTATTGCTAACCTAGCTCTTTAATTAATTCACTATACAATATATAAATAGCAAAAATTAGTGGAATATCTTCTATATACAAGGCGCTGTTCTAGATCCTGGAGAATATATGGTGCACACAAGAGAATCCCTCACAGGGATTGCACTGTAGAGAGGAGAAACAAGCAAACAAACAAATAATGAAGATAATTTTGAAAAAACACTCTGGGAAAGATTAAGCATCACCACCTCTGGTGCTGCCTTCTAACCGGCCTCTCAGCTTCACACCTGGTCCCACCGAGGTCCGCCCACTGGCAGAGAGCTCCATCTAAGCTTTAAGTCCTATTGTTACTCTCCTCCTCAAACCCTTTCCATAGCTCCCTGTGGCTTTTACAATAAAATCAGAGCCACTCACTTGGGCCCCGCATGCCTCTCTAACCTTATTTCCCTCTTCACTCCCTGCCTTCCAGAACCACCCCCCCCAACTCCTGACCACCGCTGTCATTTCTTCATTCTGTGTCCTTCTGCCTTGACTGCCTTCCACATCACCTCTTGCTACACACAAGCACTCACCGTCACCTGCTGACTCCGATGTTCTCACAATTTTCTCAAGCATTCCTCCTTCAGGCACCTTCCATGGTCCCCCACCCACCCTCTTCAACACACACACATACCCTACACACTGGGCAGGGTGGCCCTTCTGCCCCCCATGATACCCCACGTCTATTTCTATTATTGCACTTAAACCACAAGTATTACAATTACATGACCTCGCATCATGCTTCTGTTTCCTCTACCAGTCAACTTCTTGACAGCAGAGACCATTTTTTAAATTCATCTTAGTTAGAAGTCCAATCACAATGTCTTAGCGTATACATAGATATATTTGATAAATAATTATTAGATTTTTTAAATGAATTTTTAGTGGAAGAAGTAATAAATAGATGGGGAAAAAAACAGGCATTAACTTTGAAAAGCCACAAATTTTTTAATCTGTGCTCATCTCTGGCTTTTTTTGCAGCTCCTGTCAGTGGACAATGGGGTGAGTTCTCCTTTCTTTTGTCCTTCGTTGTTTCTGGATAAGAGTATCTCCGTAATAATAGGAAATAGGAAACATTTACGATGGCTGCCTGAGGATCTCTAATATCTCCCGTTTTCTTGCCGAGGCCAGCAGAGATGTGAAAGTGTCACCTGGTCTGTTGGCATCGCCCAAAGACCAGGAGAGCTTCATGATCACCCTCCGACCCTCCCTGGGCGAGGTGGGGAATGCACACGCAGCTCCTGGCCTTTGCGAGGCCCTGCATTTCCTCCTATTGCAAATGGACCCCACTTAGCCCAGCGGGACTTCTTCAACTCCGTGGCAAATGGGCTGGGCTCAGGATAGGATCACCTCCAATCAGCAAGCCAGGAAAACACCCCACCGTGGTGATCCCAACAGGAATGCTGCATCCTCTATAGCTGTGGAGTAAAATCCTCCAGGAAAGGCGTAGGAAGCAGAAGAACCTCCAACACCTGGGCCCTTACAAGGAAGAAATGTGCAGAAACGGGAAATGGGGAGAAGACAAATTTTCACACAGTCAACTAGTTCTGGCTCCCAATGCCATTCTTCTGGGTCAGAGTGGGCACTTGGGGACACATGAATAGCAAGAATTCCCTACAACCCCTCTCCTTGTCCAAAATCAGCAGCCCCAGCTGGAACCGTGTCTAGGCCACGTCTAGATGCCAGGGAATAAGTTGTTCATTCCTTGCTCTGCCACAATTAGCTACAATGGGATTTTTCCAGGCATTTGAATCTTCATTTAAAAGTTGAAGGTATTATACAAGTTGATCTCTCAGGCTTTGCTCAGCGCCAAATAGACGATAATATGATCTATTGGTTTTTTGTTTGTTTGGACTAGTCGAGGGCAGTAATTAGAAGGAGGAAAGAATAGAACAAGGAATTCTACTGTTCTGACTGCGAACAATCACTTGAGACAACTCACTACTTTCAGACCAGCCAGTATGGCTTATTCTTTTTAGGGCAAGTGCAAAATTGTGATTTTTAACAACAGCTCTGGTGGTTCTTATGAATTTATGAACATGATGGAATGGCAGGACAGGGGCAATTTTCTCTAGGATCCACTTCCATAACAGGCTGAGTAGCCAGTGATATTTGACAGTGAATACTGCTGGTATTACCCTCTTGACATGGTTTTTCTCATTGACACCCCCGAGCAGACTTCCCTCAGGTGAGGTGAGCGCTGCCATGAGCCATCAGTGATCCTCCCAGGGGCCTCCGAAGCCAGGTCTGGCCAACACTCAACCCTGTGCTGGAAGACACAGGCATCTCCACCTCAGACTTTTTCTCTTCCTTCCTCAGCTACCACAACCAGACCCATCATTTCCCTCCATCCTCCATGGACCACTGTCTTCCAAGGAGAGAGAGTGAATCTGACTTGCGGTGGGTTTCACTACTCACCACAGAAAACAAGGTGGAAATGTGTGTATCAGAGGAGAGAGATCCTAACAGACACCCCAGGAGACACCCTCGAGGTTCGTGAATCCGGACAGTACAGATGCCAGGCCGGGAGGTCAGCCCTAAGTAAACCTGTGCACTTGTACTTTTCTTCAGGTGAGACAGAGTGAAAAAAAACACAAACTTTAGAAATCATTTCAGTTCCTTTTTTTCTCCCGCTGTTACCATCGTTCACTCCAGACAACTCATGAGTGAACAATTTTATTCCACACTGTGGTTAGACAGACAAGGAGGGAGTTAAAAAGTTCCGTATACCACCAGATAGGGAATGGAATTAGCTTCTTAAGTTGGAACATAACATTTAAGAAGATTTAACTTATCCGGACAAAACTCACTCAGCCCAATGGGAAGTGGTTTCAAGTAATGTATCTAGAAGAAAATAATTGTTGTTTATAACAGCTAAAGGTTATGTGAAGAACTATACAAAAGGCTGCAATTTCTACTGAGTGGAATAATGTCTCTAAACCTGTGGGTATTAAAGTCTGATTTGAATTTGGAAACTTGAGCAGCTTTTCAATCATACAAATACTCAGGGTCTACCCTGTGTTTACTGAATAAAAAACTGTCGGGGTAGTGCCCTCGGAATTTGTAGTTTTTACAAGCTGCTCTGGTAAAAGAAAATTTGAGAAGCAATTTATTTGAATGGTTAATGAATTTATGTATAGTTTTAAAGCCATATGATTTATTTCGACTAATAAGGAACATGAACATATTTTTATATTTATAGATATAGATGATAGCTAGATGATGTAGCTATAGAAGTACAGAGGGAGAGAGAAGGAAAGAGGCATGTGGTTTTTGTCTGAAACTACCTAGTTATAAAGGTGGTATAAATTGAATTATATTTAATTTAGTGAACAAGGAAGCAGTGAAATAGCAAGGAGCAAATAAAATGCTTATGCTCTTTGACTTAACAATCCCCCTCTTCACACTTTATCTACTGAAACAATCATAGAAATATATACCCACAATGGAGGGCCCTAAATGGTCAAGAAGAGAGGACTCATTAAATAAATTACATTACTGACATTGAAGGAAAACTTAGTGGCCATAGAAAATCAGGTTCAGTGATAAAATTAATGACACAGGAAATTGTCCATAGCATAGTAAGTGAAAGGCAGGTTGTCAAATCTATAAATAGTATTCAAATCCCATAAAAAGAAAAAAATACACACAGACTCTCAAACACACAAACATGGAAGAGAAAACCGGAAACAGGTGCCAAAATATGGGCGATGGGACAATAGGTGATTTTTTTTCTTTTTTTTTTTTTCGGCATATTATGGGGGTACAGATTTTAAGGTTTCAATAAATGCCCTTTCCCCCCTACCCCCACAAGTCTGAGTTTCCAGCATGACCATCCCCCAGATTTTTAACTACGTCTCTGCTTTTCTCAAGGCACATGTATTCATTTTAAGATCAGAAAAAAAGAAATGATATTATTTTAAGAATGCTCTCTACCAAGCCCTTTTTCTAGGAAATCTTGGAATAATAATGAGAAGTAAGAGGGAACAATGGGATGAACCCAGTAACCGGTCCTGTGTTTCCGATAGCTTCGCTGATCCTGCAGGCTCCCCTCTCTGTGTATGAAGGAGACCTCGTGGTCCTGAGGTGCCGGGCGAAGGCAAGAGTAACATCGTACACTATTTACAAGAACCGTGAAGCCCTGACTTCCCTGGAAGGAACCTCTGACTTCTTTATCCCTGATGCAACTCTGAAGGACAATGGCGCATATCACTGTACCGGGGTTACGGAAGATCGCCTCATTTCTTCCAACGAAGTCAAAATCCAAGTCCAAGGTAAAGGCTTCATTATTTTGTGAAGTGGGTTGGTCAAAAGGAGAGTCCCTGGGGCTCACAGAGTTAGAGTAGGACTGGATTACCACTGATATGCAGGGTACATTCCTGCAAGGACCACAGGAGGCACCACAGTGCACTGGGCTGAAGGGTAAGAGTCAGTGGCATCCCTGCCTGTGCCTGCTTTTGTGTGTTCTGCCTGCTGATGCTGAGGATGAAGTGTGTTTTCCCCCGCACTCATTGCTCTGGGACTGTTATGATTCTTCTCTCTAGATCTGTTTCCATCTCCCATGCTCAGAGCCAGCCCCTTCCAGCCCCTGGAGGGAAGGTCCATGACCCTGACCTGTGTGACCCAGCCCCCTCCACAGAGGTCAAAGGTCCAGCTCCAGTTCTGCTTCTTCAGAGACAGCCAGGCTCTGGGATCAGGCTGGAGCAGCTCCCCAGAGCTCCAGATCCGTGCAATGCTGCCTGAAGATTCAGGGTCCTACTGGTGCGAGGCAGGAACCAAGACTCACAGCGTCCTGCGCAAGAGCCAGAGTTTCCAGATACGCGTGCAAAGTGAGTGTCACTGGGCTCTGCGATTTGCCAGGGATGGGGCTGGAAGAGCTGGGCAGATCTGCACATCAGCTTGGGGTACCAGTGTACACGGAAAGAGCTTCTCATACCTGTGAGCTGTACAAGACAGGAGACCCCAAGTAATTGGTCCTGTGAACCAATGAGAAAAGCTTAGAACCAGGAAAGTACAAGAAAAGAGAGATGAGTTCATTTTTTCGTTTCAATGCCATTAGATATAACTCTCAGAAGGCTCTCTTCCCTGACACCATTTTTCCCCTGCTAGGCCCATAGCCATAAGTTGTTAGCTACGGCAGAGCCCCCCCCCCCCCGCCCTGACTGGACTGGCTCCTGCTTGGCCAGATGGACAGACTCCTAGCATCATAGGTGCCTGGAGCACAGTGCTTAAAAACAAGAAAACCAAAAGACGGAAGCTTGGGGAACAAATCATTCCAACTTGATGTCATTGGGAATGGTGTTGTACCCACCATGGCTTTTTCCAAAGTTTCTAAAATTTTGTGGGTCCTCAAGCATGACTTCTAAACAATGGCCAAATGCTTCCCTTGATTAAATTTTGTCTGCCTCATAGGAAATCTATTTGAGTGTCAGGAAAGGACACATAGTCTGGGGTGCACACCTTCCTCAGTGAGGAGACAGTGAAAGTGGGAGCATTCTCCATAAATTGACTCCCATTCCTAGGCCAGCAAAAAAAAAAAAAAAAGCAAAAAATATTCTATGACTTGGTTTTTTCTAAACTGACTACATTTTGTTAATCTTATATTCTGCCGTTATAGGTAACAGGCATTTGTTAGGTCACTGGTTTAAGGAAGGACAATTCAGAGAAGGTGGAGAGGGTGTTATCCAACAGTTGCAACACAATAATTTCTAGCATAGGCTAGAAATGAGCATAACTGATGAAACCCAACCTCAGGCTCTTCTCCCCCTCTGTTCAGTTATCTCCTGTTGCTCTTTCAAACTTAAGGATGACTCAGAAAGGCGCTGTGCTAAGCCAACATCCATATGCAAAGCCACACCCATCTGGGGTATGGGATGCTTTCATCACAGATTTTCTTGCTTAGTGGGACTGTCCTTGTTCCACCTCCTCGACCATTTAACTGACAAGCTAGAGGGGTCAAGAAGTTGCTGCTCGGCCAGGAGCAGTGGCTCCTGTCTATAATCCTAGCACTCTTGGAGGCCGAGGCGGGAGGATTGCTTGAGCTCAGGAGCTCGAAACCAGCCTGAGCAAGAGCCAGACGCCTGTCTCTACTAAAAATAGAAAAAATTAACCCGGCATGGTGGTGCATGCCTGTAGTCCCAGCTACCTGGGAGGCTGAGGCAGGAGGATGGCTTGAACCCAGGAGTTTGAGGTTGCTGTAAGCTAGGCTGACACCATGGCACTCTAGCCCAGGCAACAGAGTGAGACTCTGTCTCAAAAAAAAAAAAAAAAAAAAAAAAAGAAGTTACTGCTCAAGGGCAAGTTTTGTGCACATACCAACAGTTTATTTCCAACTAGCCCTTGCAGTCACTGTGTGACAATCACCTTGATGCCCAGGCTCCCTGTCCCCATCACCACTCCCACCACTTTCCCCAACTGCTGGGCACTGGATGTCATCTCTGGAATTACTGGCCCTGCTCTATTGGGGGATGGGCGGACACGGAGGGAGGCTGGGCAGGGCTGCCTCTGCACCTTGTCCCAGACACTCCACAAGACCATCGAGGAGTAGAGGTTCTCCCTACCACTTCCTCCCTCTTCCCAGGACAGGCCAGCTCTACCCAGGCCCAACTTTCCACGTGAGATCAGCAGATTTAGCCTTCCCATCCTGTGACTCTTCTCCATCCATAAGCACCCCACTGTCAGGAGTCCCATATGTCATTTTTATTCATTTAGGAGTTCTTGCCAAGCTGCAAATACACACTGTCCCAGCTTCCGCGTCGGTGTTCGAAGGTCAGGATCTGGTGCTGACCTGCTCAGCAGATAGAGCCTTAGAGCTCATCACAGTCTCCTGGTACCGAAGATTTAAAAACAAGGATGAGAAAATAAAGACTCCGATGTCATCAAAATTCAAGATCTCCGAGGTGAAAAGCAGCGATGCTGGAGAGTATTACTGTGCAGCTAACAGCAGACACAGCTCGTTTGTCAGCAAACCAGTGACGATCGAGGTGAAAGGTGTGTTCTGTCAGTTCTCACCTGAGGAATGCACACGGGGATCGTCAGTGAAGACCACAAGGCAGTAGGTGGGAGTGGATACTGACAGTTACCAATGATCCAATGCTCTGAAGGACCTACCAAGAGTTAGTCAGAGATTAGCAGGAGGGAGTTAGGAATAGAAGGGGCCAGGGGCAGTGGGAGCTTTTGGAAATGCTTAGAAATGGGGATTAGAAAAGATGCTCAGTGATTTCGCATGTGGCCAGACCCTTCATATTTACAAGTTTCTTCTCAGGTTAAGTGAAATTTCTCTTGGGAATAAAGCCAGAACAAATAGAACGTTAGAACCGGGGCTGATCTAGGGCCATGTTTCTTGGCAAGCCCATTTAATTTAAGGATATGTAGGGATCCTCCCTGACCACCCTGTTGTCTCTTTCAGCCCCAGTGACATATCCTTTCCTCACCTTCAGGGCTATTAGGGCAGTGGTCCCCTACCTTTTTGGCACCAAGGACGGGTTTCATGGAAGATAATTTTTCCATGGATGGAGGTTGGGGGTTTGGGGGAGAGGCAGAGCTCGGGCAGTGATGTGAGTGATGGGGAGCAGCTGTAAGTACAGATGAAGCTTTGCTCTCTCACCTCCGGCTGTGCAACCCTCCAGCTCCTAAGTTTCATGAAAGACAATTTTCCCACCGACTGGGGGAGAGTAAGAGGACTCAGAAGAACTCTGTGGCCCTGTCCCTAACAGGACACGGACCAGTATCAGCCTGCAGCCCAGGGATTGGGGACTGCAGTCTTATGGCACAGCATGCCGCAGAGAATGTAGTAAAACTTCACCGTGATACCAACGGAGCTTCTCCCCTAATCCTATATCAGTTTTATCATGAGGCTGAAATCCGAAAGACCCAGGGCCCCTATAGAGGAGGAGCATCCCTCATCCTCTGTCTGCCCACAGAACACTCTGAGAATGACTCCTGTGCCCAGACAATGGACTGGGGGCCCAGGCAGCAAATAGAGGTCACTCTCCAACAGAAGTGACCTAACTGACCACCAGAGGTCACAGCCAAGTCAGGTAGTGTGTTCCCCCACTCTCGAGACTCCATCTACAGAAACTCATAGGCTTTGGGCCCACATGGCCTCATGACAGGCTCATTGCTTCTGCCTAGCAGTTCTGAACTACTTTCTGTGACCACTCTCTCAGGAACTCAGTAGTCCCTTAGAGCGAGTCATTAATAGGAAAATACACAGTCCAACCAAAACTACCTTCAAGTAGCTATGAAAACTTTTCGGGGTCCAAGTGCTGTGCAAATCAGCAATCTTTGGCCAAAGAGAAATTACAGAGCTCAGCATTACTTGGTTGGACAATACTCAGTTCTTAATTGTTCTGTCAATCAACAGAAGTCCAACGATTTCTGGATTTTGTCCTTTTTTCACTGACACTCAACAAATCTTTGCTCTCTTACCTGCTTCCTGCTTCTTCCCCAGGCTATCTCAATGTTTCTGTTGGCTTCTAGCAAAATAAGCTAGTGTCTATCCATTGTGGGCTCATTCTTCTACCAGCCAGATTTGATCACACTCCTGAATGTTTCTGAAGCATCTCTCTCTCTCTCTGTCTTTCTCTCTCTTTCCCCTCCACCACGCCCCCACCACCCCCATCCCCAGCTTCTGTGGCACTCAATACTTGTAACTTTTCTCTCTTTCCTCTGGATTCTCAGATGCCTGAGTTGCCAACCAACCTATTGTTCTCAGTAGCTCCCAAATCATTTCTCCTTCCCAGGTATACAGAGGTATCTGTTATCCCAGTTAACAGGCATTGACAATAACCAACATGCAAATCCATGTAGGATATAGAGACAGGTAGCAGCATCACAGTTACTCCAAATAGGTAACTCTGGAGGTGCAACATGTCGTAGTAACTGACGTAACTATGAACCCCAGAGGACATCACCTCCTCTACCAGTACACACCACCATGCGGCCCTCAAAGCTGCTACAGTGCTTATGGTAGTGAGGGGAAAACTGCTTGTGCGGAGCTCTGCGTCATCCCTTCCATTCACTGCAAACTCCAGGTTGACTGTTAGGGAGACAGTGTGATTCTTCACTGGACCAGGAGTCAGGAGACAGACCAGGTCCTGGCTGGCCTTGTAAACAGCCTGCACGGGCAAGTCCCCCAGCCTCCCCCAACTCCATTTTCTCACCTGTAGCTAGAGAGGATCAGTCTGGGTAAAGGGAGAAGGGAGAAGCAGAGAAGAGGGCCCTGGAAAATATGTCAATCTGGCAGGAAAAAGGGTCAAAGGCAAAGCCCTGAGGGCCACCCAAGTGAAGGAAGACGTAGAGACAGAGACTGAGAAGAAGACGCAGAGCGACGTGGGCAGGCGAGGGAGTCTGCGCATGCGCGTTGGCTGTGCACGGAAACCTGCAGGAAGAGGCAGAAGCAACTCTTGACTAATTTTTTCTCTCCCGCAGTCCCCGTGTCTCGTCCTGTCCTCACCCTCAGCTCTGCCGGGGCCCCCGCTTTTGAGGGAACCATCGTGACACTTCACTGTGAAGCCGAGAGAGGTTCTTCACGCATCACATACCAGTTTTATCGTGAGGATGTTCTCCTGGGGAGCAGGGTAACCCCCTCTGGAAGTGGAACATCCTTCAGCTTATCTCTGACCACAGAGCATTCTGGAAACTACTCCTGCACAGCTGACAATGGCCTCGGCCCCCAGCGCAGTGAGGCGGTGAGCCTCTCTGTCACTGGTAAGCCCTGGGCTCCTGCCGGTCACCCCCCCCCCCTGGCCCAAGCCCTCTCTCACCCACCCCTTCAGAAGTCTGCTAGTGCCTTCCAGTTTCCTACCCCAATCAAAGAAATCCCATCTTGGCCCGCTTCTCAGGAAGCCAACTAGCTGTGAGCCTCGGTCACCATCCAGCCCTGGCTTGGCCAGACTCCTAAGAAAACTCAGTAGACTCCTTAGCTTTTATTAATACCAAATGAATTTATTGTTTTTTTAAAATTGATTTCTCCTGATTTGCATGTTCAGTCCCCACATGAATTTTTCTTAATTTGATGCACAGAAGCATCTCCTATTTCTCTGTCAGTGCTTACATATTAACTTGGCTACAAGCACAGGCATAGGGACAAATATTGAGCAAGACCTTAATTGCTTTAAAAATTTCCCAAGCAGTTCAAGCTCTCACAATGGGAGGTTTGGAGAGGGCTGATTTTGAACAGAAAGGAGGAAATGGCTGCCTGGGAACCAGCTCCTCAGTCTTCTGGGGTTTGCATGATCCCTTGTCTTCTAATCCATTAAAATAAGTATTAGATTATTGCATTATGTTTTCTAAATCTTTGTTTGAAGTATGACATACATTCAGGAAACAGGTACAAATCATAAGTGTATAATTCCTGGTTACTTGTGTCGCCATTGAAAAGGTATTACTTTAGGAGCAAAACTGCATCTGTTTCACTCTTTAGTAGAGAGGGAAAGTTCAGTTTTCTTCTCGGAGAAGCAGAATGGTACGATAGAAAAATCTTGAGCCTGGTGTGTCAGACATGCCTCCAATATAAATTGTTGGGTAAAGAGATTATTATTTTAAAAATATAAATGTTCATGCTGGAGACTCAGACTTGTGGGGGGAGGGGGAGAAATAGGCATTTATTGAAACCTTAAAATCGGTACCCCCATAATATGCTGAAATAAAAAATATATATATAAATGTTCTTAGACCTAGACTCTAAAGTCCAAGCCCTATCTATCTAGGAAAGCTCCCAGCCTTCATGCATCCTCTATCCCATTATTAGGTTTTATTTTCTTCTTGTATTTAGTGACATCTAAAACCTCTTTAATTCCTGTTTCTTGTCTGTCTCCCTCAAGGCCAATAGAATATAAGCTTCATGAGAACAGAACCCCACGAGTCATGGTCCCCCAGTAGGGCCTCAGTCAGCGTTTGTAATTCAGTGAACAGATGATAAGATGATAAACAGAAATTTAAAAAAAAAAAAGCTCTAGCAGAGCTCAGGAGAACAAAGAAAATAACAAAACTATAGAAATGAAATCCAAATTTGAAGCAGTAAGAATAGAATGGATATGTATGAAAACTGTTAACAAAATGAAGAATCAGTTTGAGAAAATAATACAGAATGAAAAGTACAAAGATATAGAAATAAAGGCAAAAAATTATGATACGGAGATCAGACACCGAAGACCCCCACATGTAGATAATTAAATGTCTTTAAGTTGGAAAACTGAACTGAAGAGAAAACAAAACTCAAAGACGCAATAAAAAATATTGTCCTCAAGCAAATAAAACTTGAATATGTAGATCAGAAGATATATCTTCATGAGATTATTCAAGTTTAAGGTTAAAAATATTCATGTGTGTGTGTGATCATGGAGGAAAAAAGACAGTCATCTCAGAAAGAAAAATTTCAACTTGGTCTTAGATTTGGCACAATAGTCAATACCCAAAGAGAGAGAAGTGGTGGTCATACTTGGACTTCCAGGGACAAATGAGAGCTGAAAATTTTATATCAAGTCAAAAAGGTATTGTCAAAAATGCAGGGACTCAGAGAATTCAATACCCAATAGCTCTTCTTTAAAAAATTGCTTAATGAATGATATGAAAGCTTATGTAACCAAAACGTTTGTAACCCTGTAATATTCTGAAATTAAAAAATGAATGATAAAATGCAGCCCACCTAGATGTGAATGAAAGCAAAGGACTAATGATGAGGAAACCATGACATAAAAAGTGAGTACTGAATCTTTGTAGGTTAGTGCTTCTCAACCCTGGCTGCAGATTAGAATTATCTGGAAACTCTGTAAAAAGATCTATTACCAAGCTCTTCAGGCCAGTTAAATTCAGAATCTCTCAGATACAGCCTCAGAATCAAAATTTTTAACATACCCTCAGGTGAGAATACCGTATGGACAGGGTTGAAGACCACTTATTTAGATATAGAAACAAAGGCTAATCAACTGGGAGAATCATAGTTACAGAACAAAAAGTAACTATTGTAGACACTGAAAATGTAAAGACAATATATATAAAACAAATCAGTTGGTCAAAAAGAGGAGAGGAAGTAAAAACAATTATTTTCTCATGCTTATTATTATATCACAGTGAATTGTGAATTATTTCACAATTCAAAAAATAATCGACTTGACAATCTTTAAAAATCAATGAAAGATTTCAAAATTTTCACTTTGTCAATCATTTCTAAATACTTTATAAGCAGTAACTCATCATTAATGGTTTATACTTCACTAAAATTCCATGGAAAACCAACCAGTAGCCAGTAGGGTCACAAAGGATAGAAGGAGACATTTGTTCAGGTAAAGCAACTGTAGCTGTTAAGACTGGAAACAGACTAAATAATAAAAATAAACCTCTGCACCGATGTGATCATAAGTGATCAAGGAGTAGGGAAACAGAAGCTCCTATGTACCATTAGTGCAAGTGTGAATTGGTTCAATCTTTTTTTTTAGCGTATTATGGGGGTACAAGTGTTAAGGTTACGTATATTGCCAATGTCCCCCCCTCCTCTATTGAGTCAGAGCTTCAAGTTTTTTTTAATTGACATGTTGCAATTGTATATATTTATGGGGTACAATTTGATGTCTTGATACATAGATGTTGTATATTAAGTAAATCATGGTATTTAGCATATTCACCACCACATGTATTTATCACTTCTTTTGGTGAAACATTCAAAAGCCTCTCTAGCTATTTTGTAATATACTATACCTTACTGATAACCATCAGCACTCCTGTCTAATTGTAACTTTGTACCATTGACCAACATCTCCCCATCCTCTCTTCCCCCTTCTCCCCTCTGCAGTCTCCAGTAACCACTATTCTACTCTCTGCTTTTATTAATATAATATCAATACACTTTGGATTTTTGTTTTTGTGTTGTTTTTTAGATTCCATATGTGCATGAGATCATGCAGTATTTGCCTTTCTGTGCCTGGCTTATTTCACTTAATATTATTTCCTCCAAGTCCATCTGTCTTCTTGAAAATGACAGAATTTCATTTTTTTTTTACAGCTGAATAGTATTCCATTGTGTATATACAGCATATTTTCTCTATCCACTTCTCTGTTGTGGGACACTTGGGTTGATCCCATAACTTGGTTGTTGTAAATCGTGCTGCAATGAACATGGAGTGCAATTCTCTCTTTGACACAGTGATTTCATTTCCTTTGACTATATAATATACCTAGTAATGGAATTGCTGAATCGCATGGTAATTTTATTTTTAACTTTTTGGGGGAATGCCTGTAGTGTTTTCCATAGTGGCTGTACTAATTTATAATCCAACCAACAGTGTGCATGTGTTCCCCTTTCTCCACATCCTCACCAACATTTCTTTTCTTTTTGATAATAGCCATTCTAACTGGAGTGAGGTGGTATCTCATTGTGGTTTGCTTTGCATTTCCCTAATGACCAGCGATGTTGAACATTTTTCATGTACCTGTTGGCCATTTGTAGGTCTTTTTTTTGAGAAATGTCTATTAAGGTCTTTTGCCCATTTTAAAATCAGATATTTGAGTTTTTGCTGTTAAGTTCTTTATATATTCTGGATATTAATCCCTTGTCAGATATATGGTTTGCAAATAGTTTTTCCCATTCTGTAGGTTTTCTCTTCACTTTGTTGATCGTTTCCTCTACTGTACAAAAGCTTTTCAGGTTGATATAATTCCATTTGTCTATTTTTGCTTTTGTTGCCCATGCTTCTGAGGTCTTATTTTTTAAAAAGTCCAACCATTTTGAAGAACAATTTGATATCACATATTATTATTTAAAATGTTCATATACTTCATCTCAAAAATGTCACTTCTAAGAATTTATCTTAAGAAATGTATTCACAGGCTGAGGACAGTGACTCATGCCTCTAATCTCAGCACTTTGCAAGGCCGAGGCAGGAGGATTGCTTGAAGCCAGAAGTTTGAGACCAGCCTGGGTAACAAAGGAAGACTCTGTCTCTACAAAAAAATAAAATGAAAAAATTAGCCAAGAATAGCAGCATTTGCTTGTAGCTCTAGCTACTTGGGAGGCTGAGGCAAGAGGATTGCTTCAGCCCAGGAGTTGGTGGTTACAGTGAGCTATGCTCATACCACTACTGCACTCCATCCTGGGCAATAGAGCAAGACTCTGTCTCAGTTAAAAAAAAAAAAAAAAAAAAAAAAAAAAGAATAATCAGGTAATATTTATCCAAAATTATAAAGTAGTAAATTTGAGCATTTTGTGTATAAGTTTTACCTTAATAAAGTTGATTTTTAATAGTTAATGATGTAGATCTCTAAGTAATAGCATTGAAAGATTCCCATAACATGTAGCTAAGGAGAAAAGCAGTTTGTAGAGCAATATGTATATTGTGATCCCATACACATCTGTTTTTAATGTGTTTATTTATGTGCTGGTATGAGTGAGTATACTTATACATAGAAAAGATCTAGAAAGTATTACCAAATACTTAAAAGAGGTAATTTCTAGAAAATAAAAATAAAGAAAATGGGCCAGGTGCGGTGGCTCACGCCTGTAATCCTAGCTCTCTGGGAGGCTGAGGCAGGAGGATTGCTCGAGGTCAGGAGTTCCAGACCAGCCTGAGCAAGAGCGAGACCCTGTCTCTACTATAAATAGAAAGAAATTAATTGGCCAACTAATATATCTATAAAAAAATTAGCCGGGCATGGTGGCACATGCCTGTAGTCCCAGCTACTTGGGAGGCTGAGGCAGGAGGATTGCTTGAGCCCAGGAGTTTGAGGTTGCTGTGAGCTAGGCTGATGCCACAGCACTCACTCTAGCCTGGGCGACAAAGTGAGACTCTGTCTCAAATAATAATAATAATAATAATAAAGAAAACGGTAAAATTTTTCACTTTTACTTTATGTAATTCTGTAAAGTTTGATTTTTTAAATAAGGAGCTGCTTTCTTTATTTCAGCATATTATGGGGGTACAAATGTTTAGGTTATGTATGTTGGCTTGCCTGCCCCCCCAGTCAGAGCTTCAAGCATGTCCATCCCCTAGATGGTGCACATCATACTCACTATGTATGTATATACCCATCCTATCTTCCCTCCTCCCATCTGCCTAATGCCCGATAAATGCTGTTCCTATATGTCCTCTTAGGTGTTGATCAGTTAAAACCAATTTGCTGGTGAGTACATGTGTGTGGTGCTTGTTTTTCCATTCTTGGGATAGTTCACTTAGTAGAATGGACTGGTGTCAACTAACTCATTTCCTCCCTCAGTTCCAGCGTCTCGCCCTGTCCTCACTCTTAGGACTCCCCCGGCCGGGGCTGTGGAGGGGCACGTGGTAGAGCTCCACTGTGAAGCCCTGAGAGGCTCTCCCCCGATCCGGTACCAGTTTCTTCACGAGGATGTCAGCCTGGGGAGCAGCTCAGCCACCTCTGGAGGGGGAGCATCCTTCAACCTCTCTCTGACTGCAGAACATTCTGGAATCTACTTCTGTGAGGCCGACAATGGCCAGGGAGCCCAGCGCAGTGACACAGTATCACTCAGCGTTACCAGTAAGTTGACCCTTCCAACCAGCAGCACAAAAAGGAACAGACCATCTACCCTACCCTTCCCAGTAACCAATATGGGAGCTACTAGAGTTTCCACAGAGCCATTTGCTGTGTGATGTAATGTCAGTCCTGCTGCCTACACAGCATCTATCCAAGAGCTTTGGCTTCTACATGCTCAGGAACTTGTACCTTCCTTTTGCTTGCTGTACCTTTCCTGGTAGCAATGGGCTACAGCCAACTGGGACCAAAACCCCCCTAATGTAGAAGGCTTTTCAAAATACAAACTATATCCTGATCAACAGTGATCAGTAGGAAAGCAGTTATGAAGTTTCTTATATCTCACCTCAGAAGACAGTTAGTTATGGTTTTCTCTGTCAATCAATAAAGAGGCTGACACATTCTGTAATTGGCTCACAAATTTCCCTCTAGCTTCTCCTGCCCCTGTCCCAAACCCACTTGGGTTACCATCCAAGACCCTTGCAAAGGACGTCTCACAGTCATTCTCCTCATTTCCTACTTGCTGTTCCACTCAGCAATGCCAGTGCCCCCATCTGCCCCTGTTGTGGGCTCCTAGTGACACCTGCTCTCAATGAAGCGATGTCCTCCTCTCAACCCTACATTCTGCCACTGTTTCATGACTCTAAAGTCCACAATACAACCTGCTCAGCACCACTGTCTTCCTCTCCATGTCAGTCACCCACTCCCACATGCATAAATTATTCCACCTCTGAAATGACAATTTAAGCACCTGTCGTCTGACAGCCATTTCCCATCCTGTTACTTGCTTCAACTCTTCCTGTCACTAGTGCTCTCAGACCTCAATGGAAGGCCCAGTTCATTGGCAACTCTACTCCCTCCCTCATACATCAAACAATGATACCCTGCAAATTGAGCATCTGTCTCTACATCCATCTAGCCACTCGTCGCTCCTCTTCCTAAGGTATAGAGAAGAAGACCATGGTCCCCGTCAGGTAAACGTCTCCATCTGCTCTCTAGGTTCCATCCTTTTGTGCTTTCCCAGAAATCATATACAACCAATTATCACTTTCCTATGTTCCAGCATCTCCCTCTTGGTGGAATCCCTCCCTCTGGCATTTAACCTGCTGCATGTCTCTCATACCTAAGAAAAAACATCTGTTGATCTCACTTATGTCTCCACCCAGTGCTCCATCATGGCTAAACCTTCAAAAGGAGTCAGCTACCCAGGGTGTCTCCATGTCCTCATTATCCACAAGGTTCCAATCTACAAAGGTCTCCTGTCCTCTCCACCAAAATGGTTCTGGCAAAGGTCTCTGTTGACCTCCATGGCTTTAAACGCAATGGTCATTTTCCAGTTCTCATCTTACTTGATCTCTCAGCTATATTCCATAGCTGAGAGATCATATTTATCATTTCTTCCTTCTTGAAACCCTGTCTTCCTGGGCTTCAGTGACTCTACCCTCTTCTCGTTCTCCCCTTTCCCTGGCCACATCTTCTCAGTCTTCTTTACTGGCTTCTCCTTTTATGGACAACTTTCAAGCATTGGTGTGTCCCAGAGCTTTGACCTGTGTCCTCTTATCTGTATTCTTTCTCTGGATGATTCTGGGTATGTCATCTATAAATGGCCTTGTCATCTGTACATAATGATTCCTAAACTTCTATCTCTAAAGGAGACCTCCTGCCTGAGCACCTACACATGCCATATCTGCACTCAAATATCTCAAAAGCTCATCAACTGAACACCTCTAAAGCTGAACTCCTGGCATTCCCCTCAGACCTGTTCCTCTTCCAGGGTCCCTACCTCTGTGAAAGACACCTTGCTTTATCCAGATACACAAGGCAGAAACCCAGGAGTCTTCCTTGACATTTCTCTCCCTCACCCCTCAGAACCAGTTCATCAGTAAGTCCTGCTGAGTTTACTTCCTAAATATTTCTTGGATCTCTTTCTATTCCTGTTGCTACTGTCTAGTCAAATCCGCCAACGTTTCAACCACCGCATGCCACTTAAATACCACTCCATTCCATTTCTGTTCCCCACAATCTGTTTTGCACACAGAGGTCAGAATCCTCTTCTAAAAGGACAAATATGATCTCCTCACACCCTTGTGTAGACAGAGTTATAGACTTCCCACAGCTCAAGGAAGAAGGATCAAAGTCCTTGGCATGGCTTGTGAAGCCCTGCCTGGCTCCCCAGCCTCCTGTTTCATGGCACTCTGCAGACCCTTCCCTTAGTGCCTCGGCCACCTACTTCAATCGCTCAAACGTCCCAACCTTCTTCCCAGCTCGGGCCTTTGCATGCAGAGCTTGCCTGGTGTGCCCTCCACCTCCTTCTCCCTCTCGTTCCCTTCAAATGTCACTTTGGGAGGAAGCTTTTCCTGACTAACCAGGTCCCAGGATTGTACATTTTATACCACCCTGTCCTTTACTTTGCATCGATCATCAATGTTTTAATTCCACATTTGCATTTTTGTGCAAAAATTGTATTTTTATTTAATGGCTGCCTATCATTCTTCTAGATTGTAGTTTCTGTGAGAGCAGGGACTCTGTCTCTCTCACCCTGGAATCCCCAGCATACAATGCCATTCTTGGGACTTACTGATTGCTTGGTTGATTTTTGAAAACTTTTTGTTCAATTAATTTTTGGTGAATGAATATAAAAGTGAGCCAATCAATTGATCCCTACTCAGTCTCTTGTGAGGCCCCATTTCTGGTGCAGCCCAGATGCAATCACTTCCCTGGCTACATAAGCAATGGGTCTCTCCTGTTCCTCATTTTCTATTGAACTGATTTCTCCTTTTCCTCGATAGTCCTTTGACTTCTACGATGCTTGAGTTTCATTTTAACCTTTGTCTCCAAATTCTTCAAACACGTTTGAGTTTGTTTATTCAAATACTCCAAACCGTTTGTAGCACTACACAAATGTTGTTGTTTCTGGAGATCTGAAGCTATCACAGCTGAGACCTGAGTAATGTCACAGTTCATTAAAAAAAACTGAGAGAAACATTTTCCCATCTGAAATGGCTTTGGAATGCAGGGATATATTTGAAGAGAAGGAGCTGATGGTTGACTGTTTTGTCTCCCCCAGTTCCAGTGTCTCGCCCTTTCCTCCACCTCAGGGCCCCCCGGGCCCAGGCTGCGGTGGGGGACATGGTGGAGCTTCGCTGTGAGGCCACGAGAGGCTCTCCCCCGATCTCATACCAGTTTTACCATGAGGATGCCACCCTGGGGAGAAGCGTGGCCCACACTGGAGGAGGAGCGTCCTTCAACCTCTCTCTGACAGCGGAACATTCTGGAGACTACTCCTGTGAGGCTGACAATGGCCTGGGGGCCCAGCGCAGTGAGGTGGTGACACTCAAAGTCACAGGTGAGTTGGTCCTGCCCACCAGCAGCAGGACCAAGCGCTGGCTGCCTGTGCCTTCTCTCCCCAGCTGATGGCGGCAGTGCAGTGCTCCCCAGCCTGTTCCCTGGTGGGACGTCCCAGCACCCTTCCTGCCCACAGAACCTCCACGTGCAAGTCTGGGAGCCTCCCTGTGGAGGCTTACTCTTCTTCCCCCATCGGCAGCACCGGCCTCAGCCAGTTTTCCTCTGAGATTTGCAGGGACTCTTGCCACCCACTTTGCGCACTTACTCCTTAGATACTCCACCCAGGCATGTGCCTCGGACAGAGCGCTCCTCCCTCCGTCTCCCCAACACAGTGAACCAGCACGTCATGCCTCCTGTGCTCTGTGTTCATGACTTCGTGATTTCCTGCTCACACCCACTCCCTTGTTTCTACAATTCCCTTGTGCAAATGCTTGTTATTTCTGCTGCTGCTGTTATCACAGCTAAGGGGCTTCGTGCCCAGCCTGGATGAATTGTGTCTGGGTCCCAGAACTAGGACACAGGTCAGAGAGAGCAGGAACTGCCAGAAAAAAGAATATTTTTCATTATCATCACCACCAATATCATCATCAACAGTCACTGAGCCAGGCCCTGTGCTTAGTGCTGGACATGCAATATCTCATTGACTCATTAAGAAAAACCTGTGAGGATAAAAATCTAACCACTTTTATCCCCAGTTTGCAGGAGAGGAAACTGAGGCTTACCGAGGGGAAATAACTAGCTCAGACACACCCAGCCATGGTGAAGCCAAGTTGAAACATGGCCCTATCCAACTGCTGATGTTAGTCTACATTATAACATCTCTTCGATCATCGTGGCCACGTTCCAATACAACCTTTTAGTATTTTTTAATAATTTATTATTCTGAAAGAATACATAAATTTTCATGACAAAAATTCCAACTATACAAAAGGGTCAATATTGAAAAGTAAAGTCTCTCTCTACCTGCTCTCACACACTTTCGAATCCATATAGTTCCCAGTCTAGACGTAACCACCTTTTCACCTGCATTCTAGAAGTATTCTATAAAGACATAGACTTTTTTTACAAAATTACAATCGTATTGCACATATAGTTATGCAACTTGCATTTTTTTTATTTAAAAATATATCTTGACTTTAGTTTAAGAACTACATCTTGGGTATTGTTTGTTTTTCATTATCCAGTGTGCTAGATTGTCTCTAGTTTTTAATTATTATAGAATGCTACAGTAGAAATTCTTGTACAGATATCTTGTCATACCATATGTTAGTATCCCTCAAGGAGATGATCCTAGAAGTAGATGTGCTGGCCAAAGTTTATATGCATTTTAAATTTGGTAGATATTGCCAAATTGCCACTCGGGGAAGTGTCTTAAATTTGTATTCCCACCTCGGGCTTATCAAGGCTCCTGTTTATCCAGAAGCTCATCAGAGTATTAGTCTATTTAAGCTTTGCCAATTTAATGAAGGAGTAACATAATAGTATTGCACAGTTGCTTTTATTTATGCATATTTAGTTAATGATGAAGATGAGAATCTTTTTATCTATTTATTGGCTATTTCAAGTTTTCAGTGATTTGTACACTTTTTTACACTTTTCTGCTGGATATTTTTTTTTTTATGCTGAAAACTCTTTGTAGATCACAGTAATTGGCTTTGTCTAATCATATGTGTTTCAATCTACTTTCCATGATTGAGAGCTGACTTTCTACATTTGTTTATAATACTTTTTGATTCTTACAAGTATGTTGGAAGCGGAAACTGCTATTGGCTTTTTGATTCCCTCAGTTCCAGCATCCAGCCCTGTCCTCACCCTCAGGGCTCCCGGGGCCCAGGCTGCGGTGGGGGACATGGTAGAGCTTTGCTGTGAGGCCCTGGAGGGCTCTCCCCCCATCCTGTACCGGTTTTACCACGAAAACGTCACCTTGTGGACCAGCTCAGCCCTCTCTGGAGGAGGAGTGTCCTTCAACCTCTCTCTGACTGCGGAACATTCTGGAAACTTCTCCTGTGAGGCTGACAATGGCCTGGGGGCCCAGCGCAGTGAGGTGCTGACACTCAGCTTCACATGTAAGTTTCTTATGCCCAGGCCACAGATATGGACGAACTATGTCCTGCAGGGACACTCTGATGGTGGCCCAGAACGAGTACACGAAGCTGGTTATTTCATTCTAAGTTGTTGTGTTCTGAAGTGTGTCTTAAGCGTCGGTTCTGGGGCATGGTGCGAGCAGTGCAGGCAGACGACATCACTGAATTTAGAGCTCATCAGCTAGCTGCCTCTTCGCTTCCTGGCCACCATCCATGCAGACCCTTGACCTTGGCCTCAGGCCAGAAATGACCTTCCTCACAAGGGCAGGAGCCATTTCCGGTGCCACCCCAGCACCTGCTCAGCCGCAGGGGTCCTGGTCACCTAGGTTCACCCTCTGTCCCAGGCCCAAGCACCAGCTTCAGGGTCGGAGCACCACCAGCCCCTCCCTCTGGCTCATGCACGGGGTCTCCCCCTCAGGGCTGAACAAAAACAGAAGAGGTCCTGTGGCCACAGGCGTCACCGGGGGACTGCTCAGCGTGATGGGCCTTGCTGCTGGGGTGCTGCTGGCCTACTGCTGGCTCTCGAGGAAAGCAGGTGGGTGACTCCCTGGCACACCTGTGCCTGTGTCCATGCTCCGCCCAGCTCCCTTCCCTCTGTGACAACCCTTAGGCTCCCAAGAGCTCCTAGTTCCCATCCCTCAGTCCTCCCCCTTCCCACTGGGTCCCCCAGAATCCCTTTTGCAAATGCAAAGCTTCCGAAACAGCCCTATTGTGTGCACGATGCCTTGGTGAGAGGTAGTGTCCCCAGCAATATAAACTGCAGAGTCTCTCCCTCCCTCCCCTTACAAGATCCCCAAGGAATGGGAAGAGGAGAAAGATTCTGCGAAATAGAAGTGAAAACAGAAACCAAATAAGACTTAGTAATTGACTGATTTTTAAAATGTACACCATTTTTATAGTCGATCAAGTCTATTTTCCTGTCTGCTGCTCTCGATCATTGTCTTAACAAACTCCATGCTGAAGGATTGTGGATCGTGGGCTCCCTTTTCTCATTACAACTATACCCCCAGGGTCAGCAGTTTTTTCCAACCTGCTACCTCCCTTGGGTATAGCAAAGAAGGGTTCAAACTTCAGTGACTGCAACTCCTGGCAGTTTCTCGGTGAGCCTCCTACGAGCTGTGCCCTGTGAAGTTCTCCTCTTCCTGAATCCAGTGCCCTCTGCTTTCCTTTGCAGGGGGGAAGCTCGCCTCTGGCCCCTCCAGGTAAGACCCAGGCTGTATTCCTCTGTGATTAATGAAATGCTCACAAGGTAGAAAAATGGAATTGGATCTGATTATTACCAAAATCACAGTTTCTGCTGAGTGTTGCTGAGATGGATGGCACCCACTTCATATTGCTACCTCCCCAGGATATCCCAAGGCAATGTCTAGGATCTTCCCACCCACCCCCTTAGCTGTACAGGCCGCCTTCTTGCATCAGATGCAAATTGCCTTTCACTTATCAACTCCTCCACCACTGTTGGCTTGGTTGTCTGAGTGACCGCTATGACCACTGAGTCTATCCAATATCTTGAGATGATCTTCCTTAACAAGTTTGGAAATCTCTGGAGATGGCCAACCTCATCAACACCTGTTGTGATGATGACAAGAAGATGGGGCCACACAACCTGACCACCCAGAGAGGCCACTATGCCAGCAGAAGGTAGTGCCTTGTGAAGAAGGGACCACCATCCAGTGTCCCATAAGGCTGACCTTAGGAGCAGAACCATGGCTCGCAAACTGCCCCTGGGCGAGCCCATGGCAGCAGGTATCCAAACCATCCAGAGTTCCTTTGAGCCTCTCTGGTTACTGACTTTTCTGAGACACCATTCTCTCTGAGAGTGGGGGCTCTGGAGCCAGGTTCGAATCTGGACTCTTCCCCTTTTGGGTTACATGGTCTTGGTAAGTCACTTCATCTCATGGAAAATGGAATGGGGATCTATGAAATCCCCATTTATCATCTATAAGATGGAGATAAAACAGAACTAACTTAAAATATTGTCGCAAGCATTAGCAGAGTGCTTGTTACACACCAGGTGGCCATAAAGCCTGGAAGCATAGAGAATATGAATCTGTCATGATTCATAATATAATGCTCATAGACCATTTGCTATGTACTCGTCTATGTTTCCAGGCTTGGCAGCCGCCCTGTGGTAAGAACTCACGAGCTGGGAGTAATCATTAGAGTCGCTTTGTCAGGATTCCTAGGAAACATCAGCGTTTCTGTGTCTCACAGGATCCCTTCAGATTTGAACCCCCAAGAGCCCACCTACCACAACGTACCAGGCTGGATAGAACTGCAGCCGGTGTACAGCAATGGTGAGGGCCCTGCGTCTGGATGGGGCTGCCGGGTTGGTGGGGCAGGACAGGAGGAGGGACTGTGCAGGGGCTGGAGGGCTCTGGTCCTGCCAGAGAACGAACTCTGCCTGGGGGGAGCAAGAAGTAGCTCAGATGAGCCGCAAGAACCTCAGCATCCTCTGAAACTTCAACTTCTTTCTAAGTAAATCCTAGAGGAGGAGACGTGGTTTACTGCGAATTACAGAGCATCCCGGAGAAAAACAGGCACGCAGGTAAGACCTGAGTGAGTCTCTGTTCTGGCCCACCCTCAACTTAGCCTGTTGCCGGGTAGCTTGGTGCGCACCCCTGCAGCAGGTCTGCGCCAACTGGGCACGGAGCCACCTGTCACACTAGGTCCTGGGGCTTCTTAACTTGTGCCTGTGCTGCTCAGGGCGAATCCAAGCCCACCACGCAGTGCTGCTTTCTCCATCCTCTACAGACAGTCTCGGTGTGACCCGAGTAACAAAACCATCCCTTGGGCAGTCACTTAACCTCTCAGAGCTTCAGTGTCCCCATCTGTAAAATGGGACCAGACTATCATTCCCTGCTGTCTTAGGCAGGTTGGGCTGTGATAGACTGGGTGGCTTACGGAATGAACATTTATTTTTCATAGTTCAGGGGGCTGGAAGTCCAAGATCAAGGTGCCAGCACGGTCAGGTTCTTGGTGAGGGCTCTCTTCCTAGTTCACAGACAGATGCTTTGTTGCAGATAGACTCTCACATGGCAGAGAGAGAGAGATTAGTAAGGATACTAATCTCATCATGGCCTAATTACCTCCCAAGGGCCCCAGCTCCAAACACCATCACATTGGGGATTAGGGCTTTAACACGTGAATTTGTAGAGGGGCACAAATATTCAGTCCGTAGCACCTACCTACCTGTATTAGTTTTCTATTACCATAAACTTAGTGGGATCAAAGAGTGTAAGTTTGTTATCTTACAGCTCTGTAGGTCAGCATCTGACATGAGTCTCACTGAGCTATAGTTAAGGTGTTGGCAGGGCTGCGTTCCATTCTGGAGGTGGTGGGGGAATGCATTCATGCCTTTTCTGGCTTCTAGAGGCCACCCCCTCTCCTGGGCTCATGCCCTCTTCCTCCGTTTTCAAAGCCAGCAATGTCGCATCTCTCTAACCATTCTTGCATGGTCAGGTCTCCCTCTGACCTCTCGCAGTTGGGAAAAGCCCTCTGATTTTAAGGAGTCCTGTGGTTATACTGGGCCCATCTGGATAATCTGGAATCATCTCCCCATCTCAGTGTCTGTAATCTTAATCACATCTGAAAAGTCCTCTTTCCCATCCAAGGTGACATATTCAGAGCTTCCAGGGAGTAGGGCATGGATATCATTCTGGCTACCACACTGTCTCACAGGATTACTGTGAGGAGTCAATGAGAAAGCAGCTGTGGAAATTCTGTTGAAACGGCAGAGTGTTAAGCAGAGTGACGATGGCTACACGCTGATTGTCTGGCTGTGTCATCAGCTCTCACTCACAGCAGGTGGCTTGCAAGGAGGGCATCCCAGCCTGGCTTCCTCCTACTAGGAGCAAGAAATGGGAGCAAGGTCCTTGGGTGCAGACTCTTCTAACTCTGCTTCAGAAAAAGTGCTGTGCGATTTTAGCCAGTGTGCTTCCCTCTTTGGTTTGACCATTTCTCTTGTATAAAGTCAAGTGAATTGTGTTTGTGTCCCATTCTTGGTTCTATAGCATCCCTCTATGACATGAGCTCATTCACATTTACAGCCCCCTTTGAGGTAACCATATCCCCATTTTAAAGATGAGGAAACTGAGGCATAGAGACCTTAAATGACCTGCCTGAAGGCACTAAGCTAGTAAATCACCCATCTGCCCAAGCTCTGGACCATACTTTGCTTCTCAGTGCAATTCCAGAGAGCCTTGATGTTCGTTCCAAGCCAGAAAGAGTGAGCCCTGCCTGGAGAATGTCATATTTCACTCTAGTTTGAAGGTAATACCACAATAACGTTAAATAACAACAACTTCTAATATCTATCATGTGTTGAGTCATTCTTCTATGCCAGGTACAGTTCTAAGTGCTATAAATAAATACACTATATTTAAATGCATAGCCCTTAGAATGATATGTATTATAGCATATATGTGCAGCTGTAGCATACATACATGTCATCATTAGGGAGAGAGAGAATTTATTTGTAGCACTCAGGACTGCACCTGGCACATAGAAACTGCTCGACACATGGCAGCTGATAGAAATTATACCTACGCGTGCGCACACACACACACGCATGTACATATATATAAACTCATGTAACCTCGCCATGACCCTGTAGGCACATGATATTATTATTCCCATCATATAGATGAGGCTACCAACACAGGAGACGTTGAGTGACCTGCCCAAGGCCACAGAGGTGGCGAGGCAGACCCAGGCGGGGCTCAGTCTCGATCCGGAATCCGCTCTCTGAAACACATGCCAGCTCACGCTGCCCCTCCCCAGTAGATAATATAAACCTGTGATCAAAGAACTAACAAGATAAGATGTGAATTTCTTTTGAGAGCTCCGAGGCAGCTCAGAGTGGGGGACTAAGTGCAAAGTGATGTTGAGGAGCGGCATGGTCCGTGCTGCGGGGCTGAGGGTCCTAGGAAGGGTGTGGGACAGGGGGACAGGAGGAGTGGCTGCTTACAGCACAGAGCGGGGAGAGGGCCTCAAGGAGACGGGCTGGGCTGGAGCACAGGTGCAGGGAGGAAGCGCCCAGCGGGCCTTCCACGGCTGAGCACTGCCCTCTTTCCACAGTGGCCTCTGCACCCCGGCTTCCCAGTAACAAGGTGAGTCTGACAACCCAAGTGGCCTCCCCCGAGGGCCCGCCAGCCCCGGCCCTCACCTGCGTGCTCTTGGTTCCTAGGACTCCGCCGTCATCTACTCCCAGGTGAAGGTGGCATCAACCCCAGCCTCCAGGACCCAGCTCTCGGCTTCCTCGGCTCCTCACAGATGAGCCCACGTGACTCCCCAACTGCGGTCTCAGCCTCTGCACCCCGAAGGTCTCCTTGGGGACGAGGGAGCATGGAAGTGGCCTTCATGGCATGTGCCACGCTATCAGTCTGACCAGAACACAGGGCCCTGGCTGGGCTCCTGCCTATTGCCTGGGGTATAGTCCTGGCAGTTGTCTTTAATGATAAGTTGCTCCCAAGCCAGGGCCCACTGTGTCTCCTGCCTTCCTTCGTGGGCTTCAGCTTTGGTTGCTGTCTCGAGTCCTGCTCCCATGCACAGCCTCACCGTTCCTTGATGAGGACAGGGCTGCTCCTGAACTCCAGCACGGAGGTCCTGCTGTCGGTGGCGCAGTTCTCCATTGCCAACAGCCTGGTGGGACTACTACGGTGCTCTGCCAAGTGGGACAACACCCAACCCACAGACAGTGGGTGTGCTATGAGTCTCCCCACGGGAGCCACATTTCACACCTCCTCCCACCTGTCTGGAACTCTAAGGTCAGCACCTGATATGCCAGGTAACCTCTGCCTGCTCATAGGCCAGTGTCTACCTGCCCAAGCAAGTGCATTTCACGCCCAGGCCCCTGGCCCCTCCCACCCTGCCAGAAGCAGCCCAGCAAAGGCAAGGCCAGGAGGACCAGGTACGCAGATAGAATGCACATGCGAATACAGGAGGTGCTCAACTATGATCTGACTGAATGGACAAAGGGATGAATGCACAAGGAAGAAACTATGTGTGATCAAACTGACGTCTGATCCAGTGTGCTCCCTAGGAAATCCGGGAGGTATTCTCTCTTCCCTGAGTAAGAAATAAATTAGGAGAAGGAGTTTGGGTGAGGAGCACTCTGTTCGGCAAGAGGGAGGGCTGCTCAAACGTGAATGTGCTTATGGATCACCTGAGGGTCTTGTGAAAATGCAGATTCTGATTCAGAGTCTGGGCGGAGCCTGAGATTCGCATTTCCCCTGCGCTGCCCCAGGTGATGCCGCTGGTCCCGGAAGCGACTGAGTACTGAGGCCCCAGAGGTCTTGGGGTGGTGGAGCAGCAGTGTGTGCTCATGTGCTCTGGCTGCCATACACACTGGGACTGCTCCTGAGCCATGCTTCAGGCAGAGCACCACCAGCTGCTGTTGCTGAGAAAACTTCTCCACGACATGCTGGGTTTCAACAGCCGCTCTGGGTGGGGGAAAAGCAGTCACCACCGTCTTTTATTTCCTCCCACAGGCCTCACAGTTTCCGCATGAAAAGAATGAATGAACACACCCCTCAGCCCTGTCCATTCGAAGGCAATCTTTCTCAAACTCTGAGCCATGCGATGTTTTGTTCCACATTTATGATGCCCATTGCACCTTACCGTGATCTCTGTCCCCAGTGGATTTTATAGTGGGAGTCATGTCTAAGACCTGTTGCCCTGAAATAAAGTCCTTCTTAAGGCATTCAAGGCCCCCTCCACCTGGCACCACCTCCCTACCTCCCCTCTCCCTCTGCCGTTGCCATCAAAACCCCGCACCAAATCACCGCTTGCTCTTCTCTGTTCCCTAACACAGCCTTTCTGCACCTCCTCCTCCTGGAGGTATTTAGCCCCCACCAGAGTTAAACAGTGCTCCCACCAGAGTTAAACAGTGCTCCCGCCAGAGTTAAACAGTGCTCCCACCAGAGTTAAACAGTGCTCCCGCCAGAGTTAAACAGTGCTCCCACCAGAGTTAAATAGTGCTCCCACCAGAGTTAAACAGTGCTGCCATAGCACTTCTTCACTGCACGACTTGGCATCACCATCGGTTAATGTTGGGAGGGAACTGAGAGTTTATTAAGCCAACTGTTTAATTTTGTAATTGGAAATTGAGAACCACAGAGGAGAAGCAACTGGCTGAAAATAACACAGTCAGCGGCACAGCCTGTACTAAAGTCAACCCAGGACCCTGACTCCCAGGATGGTGTTCCTTCCTCTACATGGCTCCTCTGTTACAGAGGCTCATGCATTTCTCCATTTCTCCAACGAAGGTGAGAGGTCCCTAAAAACCAAGCCCAAGTCCAATTTGTGTATATGCAGAGCCCAGCACGGTGCCTGGCATATAGTTGGTAGTCGGTAAATGGTGGCCAGATTGAATGTCAGCTAAGTTCCCTTGGTGAATACGCATCTCCTCCACAAACTCATCTTTACCTGTTCACTCTTAATCCAGGGAAATTCAGTACATGTCCTCAGATCTTAGAAAGTTTTCTTTAGGATACCAATAAAATAATTTCTAACAGGTCCACCCCGTCAGTCTGAAGAGAATGTTATGTCTTGTTTAAAACCTGCATGGCCTGAAGGTACCTGAAACACAGAGAAAACCCAGTCATCTGTCCCCCACAAAATTTGTTCCCTACTGCGTTTTCTCTTTCCCTCCCTCCTTTCCTTTCCTTCCTTCTCCTCCTTTTCAGTTGAAGCTACCACGCCATCCCCAGTGACCCCAGGCAGAAGAAGCACCTCCAACTCTGGTCTCTGTATTGAACTGGCCACCAAGTCCAATCCAGTCTACTTTTCATACTAAATACCTCTTAAGTCCTGTCCTCCTTTCAGTCCCGCTGCCACTGCCTTCGACAGCCCTGGCCACCTATCACCAGGACCCTTGCAGTAGCCCCGTCCCCGGCGTCTCGACCTCCAGACTCTCTCCTCCCACGACCATTCCTGGTACTCGCTAATACGATCTTCTTAAAACTCAACCCTATTTTTTCCTCTGCTTGAAATCCTTCACTCCTTTTCCAAAGAGTCCAGACTCCACTGTGGGGCACGAGGCTGTTCCTGGTTTGGCTCCAGCCTACGTTTTCAGCTCCATCTCCCATCACCGCCCCCACCCACAAGGACACGCGCCATGCGCTGCCACCACGCCCACTCCCTCCACTCCCTGCACGGACCCGCCTTTCCAGCAGCCATGCCTTTGTACATGCTGTCTTTTCCTAGTAACTGCCCCCTTTCTGTCCTATCTGTTAAACTCACTTGTCCTCCAAGACCCAATTCCAATATCACCTCTCAGAGCAGCCTCTCCTTTCCCTCCGGGTTCCAGAACCTTGGCACGTGTGTTTCTCACAGCCCTTCTCTCCCTGTAATGTAAGCCTCTTTAGGGTTGAGTGTTACAACTAGTTCTAGCTTATAACCCTCCCCATCCTCACATCACCCCACACACAGCACAGCACCTGCTCAATTCTTAGTGAATAAATGCATGTGTAGCAGTGTTGAAAAAGGGCATTTCCTGTTTTCTCAGAATAACACCCATAGTCCAGAGCTGAGCCCACAGCGGACATACCTCCATGGACTGGAGAGAAGCTTCTAGACATATCTCGTAGAGTCGACTAAGAAGTGGCCACATCCACCCTTCTAAGCTTCTCTGCTCCTCATGCACATGTGTCCCTTGTCAGCTGAAGTCCAGAGTTCATTAAGGGGATGATGAGGGAGGGTGATCCAGTGAGGGGCATGTACCTCCTCTCCTGACCCAGCCAGGGGAAGACAGGATGCCTAGATCATCACTTAGAGAATTCAAGACATCCTTCACCACTCAGGGAGATTTCTTGAGCTCAGGAATTCACAGGACTCTCTTGGAGTAGCCCCCATGCCCCGCTGGCCCTCAGCCACAGGGAGAAAGCCTGAGGGAAATCTTGACACAAGTGCCCTGGAGTTTGGGGACATCAGGGAAGAGCAAGCCCTCCCCCTCCTGCCATTCCTTCCCATGTGGAAGGAGCCCCATTAGCACAGTACTCTTGGCCCCTCTCTGCCCTCACCATCTCCTCCCCAGGGGAGCAAGAGCTACTCACCTCCCCAGTGGGTTCAGAAGCAGAGCATGGGTGCGCACCTACTATTCCCTTTCTCTTCCTCTCTCTTGGCTGAGAGCAGCCCGCAAAAGCTGTGTTCTTCTCTGTCCTAAGTTGTGAAAGGACCTGCCTCTACAGAAGAGTGCCTGCAGTTTCAGGTACATAACCTCAGTATCTGCACAGAAGTGAATTCGGGGAGGGGGAGCAAAGTACACAGCAAGGATGGGGGCTTCTGCCACCACCAGGGCAGGTGGCTTTACGCTTTGGTGGTACTTGCCTGGCACAGGCCTGGTGGGTTTTTTACCATCGCTGTTTACAGCAATTTATTAAGAGCCATCAGTTTGGAGCTGAGTTGGCTTTTATCTACTGAATCTGGGAGAGGAGCTCTAAGTCAGTCTGCAGTGTTTTGTGGGAGGTTGCTAGAGCTTGGACAAAGCTTTGTCCCACGGCTATAGCGCCGGGAATGCACGCACTGACCATTAAGTAGGGTTGAGCAGGTGTGCTGGACTCTTCAGGCTGAAGTGGCTGTAGCCATGGCTAGTACTGTTCCTGTGGTTGTGGATTCATATGCTGTGTCTGCCAGTCGAGGGTTCCAGTTCCTCCTGGCATTTAGGGGCATGGCCTGACAACACCGCCATCATGCAAACCATGCACCTCCTGCCTCCACCCTGGGACTCCCCTCTGGGCTAAGGTATAGATGCCCAGGGAAAGTGACCTTGACCATGAGATATCGGAGCCAGTGGATAAATTTTTCTCCCTTTCTCCTCCTCCTGCACAAATGCACTGTTCAGAGATGCAAAAGTTTGATAAGAGGACATCCTGAGAGACCAAGCAATCAACTTGTCCCAAAGATGTGGCCACGCTGGGAACACACACCCCTATATGTGTTCTCCTTCCTTCCTCTCAGCCTGTCTCCCATTCTCTGTCATTCCTGCTTCCGGGGATTCGACTCATTCATCATGTGTTAGCGCGTGGCCTCTGCTGCAGGCTATTTTCTAGGGAACCAGAGCCAAGACAGCAGGTTCCAGGGGCCTCAAGCCACTGACAGTTTTGGCCAAATGGCAGTCACGTGGGGCCGAGCAGTCAGACACCGGGCACGCAGCCTCAGCTAAGGGAAGTGCCAAGGGCCTTGGCCAGTGGGAGAGGCTGGTGGGGGCCTCTGCAAAGCCAGGAGCCTTGAAAAGGTGCCCACTTTTCCTTGAACAGATGTAGCCTTCCTGAACAGCTGTGGCTGTAGCAAAGATTCAACCATAGAAAGAGAATCTTTTCATTAAAGCCTTTGACATGTTGGGAGCCAGAGCAATATTCTGTGCTTCCCATGCATGGCAGCTGAGCCCCATGTGCGCCGCACAACTTTTCACGCTTTCAGGTGCCAGGGCATGGCCTGGATAGGTGGGACAGGGTCTGCTGACCCAACCTTAGCTGAGCCTTTCAAAGGCGAAATCAGACACCAGAGACACGAGCCTGTGCTGCCTTGCAGAGCACAAGGCAGAAGACAGACTACAGATACGCGAGCAACATAAAGGCGGAAGAGGGGAAAGCACTCCCGAGGCAGATTTCTAAAGCCTGGGTGAACATCAAGAGAGGACAGACAGCAGCAAGAACAGCTCAGGATTAAAGAAAAAAATCTGCTCACAATCTATTCTGGGGGCCACATTACCAAACAAAGCTCACACCCAGTGCCACTTTGAGAAGACCAGGCTCAAAGGAGGAAATTTTAAAATCCGTCAATGAAAAAAAAAATTTTAAATCCCCTATCCCAGAATAATAACCCCACAGGGGCAACACAAAGCTCTCTCTGGAAGATTCCTACCACTTAAGTTCAAGTTATAGGTCGTAGACTCCAAATAGATATAATCGGTTGATGTCATTCTGGTGAAACTAACATTAGAAAGATCTTTTCCATCCACCCTCCATGATTCAGACACTAGCCTCTTTGGCAGCGCTGAGTACTGGGCTCTGCGGCCATGATTTTATTGGAATAACTGTTTTAAGAGTTTCAAATTGGCTTGTTTTACTAGAGTAAGTGGGTCTAGGCCAGTGC